TCATTTCAAACTAGCGCACAACAGCCCGCTTTTATTGAGACAACTTAGCGATCGCAGCGCCTCACTTATTTTGTCTATATTTCTGGGACACTATTTTCTATAGCGATCGTTCTCCTGTTCTCTAACCTCCATGGTGCATAACATCAAAAATAATCCATAAACTAAACAATAGAAGACGAAAAAAAAAAGACATGCGTACCGGTAACAAAGACAAAACGTATTGACGCGACTCTATGAACGGGGTTTAAGAGCTGAGAAACAGAGGGTCTCGTTACAGTAAGTTGCAAACTTAGCTCTCAACCGGGTTATAATAATGGACGTATCAGACGAATTTTCAAAACCCGTTGAAATATTTTTTTTACTATTTACCTATTTATTTCTGAACAAACGTAATATATAACTCATAAACAAATCAAATCAAACCTTTGAATATTAAACCAAAGGAGACGGCATCGCAAGGCATAACCACAGAGTAAGGACCGGAGGGGAAGCTTCCTAACAACGTCAAAAATGTATAATATACCTACCTATTTTGATAGGGTTGTCACCTGATGAATGTGAAAATTTAAGGAAAAAATAACAATAATATACAGTATAAAACAACATGTGGTTTCATTGTAATTTAAATTAATATAAAAACATGTATATTTATTGTAATTTAAATCGAAACTGCAAAAATTGTATATTTTGCTAATTTTCGTGGTATTATATCTTATGGAATCTTACTGTATAGTAAAGCGGTGAATATTAAAAAAATACGTGCAATTTATAATTAAAAACCGCACGAATCTTTTCGTAAGACATCTTATTCATGAGTACAAAAAATCAGGCGATAGTAGTAATGGCTGTGATAGTGGTAGTGGGCAGTGGCAGTGGTTGTGGTGTTGATGGTGATTATGGTGGTGGTAATGATGGTGGTAATGACTGTGGTGGTATGCTGGTCGTGGTGGTGGTTTTAGTGGCGGCGATGTTGGTGGTAGTTCACTACCTACCACCACCAACGATACTACAAGCACCACCACCAACACTAGCACCATCACCACCAACGTCAGCACCAATAGCACTAACACTACCTTCACCACGTCTGGCAATAGTATTACTTTCTCTCGAATTTTTATACATACTGTACAAGTGTTAGGCATTAATTTATACAGAAGACTAATTAATTCTTTATATAAATCTACAATGTCTTATTTTATAATAAACAGTCTCTAAACTTAGCTCTAATAGTAAAAAAATGATTGATTTATAAAATCACGAAATATTGTTCTTCCATTTATTTAAATGCGCACGACTAAAAGCCCTTTGACTGACTGGCGCAAACAGGTCAGTGTTGCCACCTTGGTTTTTGAAAAGGGGCAGATGGACTATCTAAAAAGGGCTAGATACAGAAAATTCTTCCTGATGACAACTGTGACGTAATAAAAAACTGCGGTTGCCAACCCGCTCGCCAAGCGTGGCAACTATGGCAAATACCCCCCAATGAATAAATACACAAACAGACGGCCCCCAGTCCCCGGCGGCCCCGCTATTCCTGGCTACGGTGGCGACCATGGTAACGGCGGGGCAGGGGGTGCTAAGAATCTCCGGTGGAGGTTCGGTTGCCACCTACGACGACTCGACCTGGCAACATATAACGCACGCACCCTGAGGACTGACGAGAAGATACTGGAGCTGGAAGAAGAGGTAGACAAGTTGCGCTGGCATATTATTGGATTATCCGAGGTCCGAAGAGAGGGGGAGGACACGGCAATCCTCGAGTCCGGCAACTTGTTCTATCACCGGGAGGGCGACCATCTGTCCCAAGGAGGTGTCGGATTTATCGTCCACAAATCTCTCATCAACAACGTTGTAAAGATTGGGAGTGTGTCGACGAGGGTCGCGTACCTGATACTCAGAATCACCAAACGGTATTCGCTGAAGGTCATTCAGGTTTACGCACCAACCTCGGCACATCCTGATGAGGAGGTGGAGGAAATGTATGAGGATATTTCCAGAGCCATACATTCCTCCAAAACCTACTACACGGTGTTGATGGGAAACTTCAACGCAAAACTGGGCACAAGAGAAAGCGGTGAGCTGAAGGTAGGGAAATTTGGAGTAGGGCAACGGAACCGAAGAGGCCAGCAGCTGGCCGACTTTATGGAGAAAGAGGGACTCTTTATGATGAACTCTTTCTTCCAGAAGCGGCCCCACAGGAAGTGGACCTGGTCGAGCCCCGACGGTTCGACAAAAAATGAGATTGACTTCATTATGACGACCAGACGCCAACTGTTCAGTGATGTCTCAGTGATCGCAAGGGTGAAAACTGGCAGCGATCACCGAATGGTTAGAGGCACACTGAACCTAAACGTTAAGTTGGAGAGGTCTTGTCTAATGAAGTCAACGCTCCGTCCCCCTCGTGCTCTAATCCAGAATCCCGAAACCTTTCAGCTCGAGTTACGTAACCGCTTCCAGTGCCTAGAAGATTGCAATGCAGTGGACGATATGAACGACAAGCTCGTGGAAACTGTCCATGCGGTCGGAGCTAAGTTCTGCAAGACCCGCCGCAGAAGAACACAAAAACTCTCCGATCACACTCTTAATCTCATGGCTGTTAGACGGGAGATGAGGCTGCAATCGTCAACAGATTTGACAGCATACAGGCAACTGAACAGACAGATCTCTAAATGCATACGGCGAGACTTACGCAACTTTAATACTTCTCGTATTAAAGAAGCGATCGAGCGGAACCAGGGCTCCAAAGTCTTTGCCAGAGATCTGTCTGCCAGAAAGAGCCAACTGTCAAGGCTGAAGACTGAGTGTGGCAACATCGTTTCCGGGACACCTGAGATTTTGAGTGAGATTGAGAGGTTCTATGGGCAGCTGTACACATCATCGTTGGAGCCACACGCAAGTGTGAGTAACGATCCAAGAGCAAGTCTTATCCGACACTATTCCGATGATATCCCGGACGTCAGTCTAAGCGAGATTAGAATGGCTCTCCAGCACCTTAAAAACGGCAGGGCCCCAGGCGAGGATGGAATTACAGCGGAGCTTCTGAAAGCGGGTGGAACACCGGTACTTGAAGTCCTTCAGAAGCTCTTCAATTCCGTCCTCCATGGTGGCACTACTCCAGAGGCGTGGAGCAGAAGTGGTCTTGTTCTTTAAGAAAGGCGACAACGCTCTCTTAAAGAACTACAGACCGATTTCCCTTCTGAGCCGCGTCTACGTGCTGTTTTCGAGAGTCATTACGAATCGTCTCGCACGCAGACTTGACGACTTCCAGCCTCCCGAACAAGCCGGTTTCCGAAAAGGCTTCAGTACCATAGACCACATACATACCCTGCGGCAGATTGTACAGAAGACTGAAGAGTACAATCTGCCACTTTGCCTGGCGTATGTGGACTATGAGAAAGCCTTTGATTCCGTCGAAATTTGGGCGGTGCTACAGTCCCTTCAGCGGTGCCAAGTTGACTGTCGGTATATCGAAGTGCTGAAGTGTTTGTACAGTAGGGCTACGATGGCTATCAGAGTACAGAACCAGAGCTCGAAACCTATCCAACTGCAGAGAGGTGTAAGACAGGGTGACGTTATATCCCCGAAACTCTTCACCGCTGCATTGGAAGACGTTTTCAAGCTACTGGACTGGAAAGAATACGGTATTGACATCAATGGCGAGTACATCACTCACCTTCGATTTGCCGACGATATAGTCCTTATGGCAGAATCGCTGGAGGACTTAAGCACTATGCTCAATGACCTCAATAGTGCCTCCCAACGGATAGGTCTTAAGATGAACATGGACAAAACAAAGATCATGTTCAATGTCCATGTCACACCTATGCCGGTAGTTGTTGGGAGCACTATGCTCGAAGTTGTTGACGAATACGTTTACCTGGGACAAATAGTCCGACTAGGTAAGTCCAACTTCGACCGAGAGGTCAATCGACGGATTCAACTCGGCTGGGCAGCGTTCGGGAAATTACGGCATATCTTTTCGTCAGGTATACCTCAATCTCTAAAAACTAGATTGTACAACCAGTGCGTGTTGCCAGTGATGACTTACGGATCTGAGACGTGGTCCTTCACTGCTGGCCGTATGAGGACGCTTAAGGTCGCTCAGCGAGCTATGGAGAGGGCTATGCTCGGAGTTTCTCTGCGTGATAGACTCAGAAATGAGGATATCCGCAGTAAAACCAGAGTGACCGACATAGCCCAACGGATTAGTAAGCTGAAGTGGCAATGGGCCGGCCATATAGCTCGAAGAACCGATAACCGATGGGGAAGAAAGGTTCTCGAGTGGCAGCCTCGTACCGGTAGGCGTAGTGTAGGGCGACCCCCCACTAGATGGAGTGACGACCTGGTAAGACATGCAGGAAGTCGATGGATGCAGGTGGCTCAGGACCGTGCTTTGTGGCATTACTTGGGGGAGGCCTATGTTCAGCAGTGGACTTGTGAAGGGCTGTAATGATGATGATGATGATGACAGATAATTCTGTCATCAAAAGAGGTACTAGAAAGAGCTAAAAATATTTTTTTTTCACGGTGTACGTCTGTTGGATAAAACTTTCAGAACAAGATTGCCGTCTTCGATCGAGCATAGGTATCTTTTGTCTTTGTTTTTAGCGGCCCAGAAGAAAATATAAACGTGAAACATCTGCAGTGCATATATTTCGGGCAATAACAAATAAAAAAATATGCAATGTAAAATTTGTTTATTTAAATAGTATTAATTGGTATTTAACTAGGTACTTAAATACCATTAAAATTCACTTATTAAACTTTTAATCAAAGTCGGAGACGTCATCGGAATCATCTGAAATTATAACTGCTGAAGCAGAAGAAGTTGATGGCCAACTGACATCTGCGTTTTTTGTTAATTTGAAGGAGTATTTTAAATTACTTCCACTGTTTTTCCAGATGGCAGTTATATGTATTATTGATATCATTGTTTTTGGCCCAGTTTGTTCCTGGTTTTAGTCCTAATTAGGTTCATGGAACTAAAATCGCGTTCAGCATCAGCGTTCGTTCAAAGTTAATGATAAAATAATTTTCGCCAAGTTCCGAAGCGCTTGGTACAAGTTGATTCCAGCAGGATCCTTGTATTTGAAAACTAAGATGTTGGCGTCTTTGTTCTCCCAGTCGTGTTCTCCAATATTTCTATATTGTACTAAAACTATATCAATATCATCAGGAATCAAACAAATTGCTTCTGCAAGGTGAACCATGCGTGATATAGCCTTGTTACGCTTGAGTGTCTCTTTAGCAGAAAGAGGCGTCATTGTCTCCAAATTTTTGAAATTATCTGGCAAGCGGAAGATTTCGTATCGTTAAGAAAGGGCTAGATTACTCTTTAAGGGCTAAAACTTCAAAAAACGAGTTCACCTACAGTAATAAGCACTAGATCTAGCCCGAAAAGAGCTAAGGTGGCAACACTGAAACTGATTTGTACCCCGACGGAGTATCGGTGAACCTGTCGGTGAGAGCTCACGCACACATCGCTGCGCTATGTATGGGTATAGTCACAGCGAGCCGTTTGTAGGTAACTTAACTTACCCTCTGGTCGGTTTCTTTACTCATGTGACCCTTTGTAAGAGGTAAGAGAGTCCGATTCATAACCGTTATATAAAACTAGTTGCTGCGCATCGTGCGCCACCGTTATTACGCAAGTGATCGTGCCATTCAATTGAGCTCCGACAAAAATACCGAATTGCAGTGTATTTTCATGCAAACAACAATCAAAATCGTCAAATCTACAAAAGGACGTGACTTTTCATCTGTGAATACTTTTAACATAATATTATCGTTAAAACTCGTATTTTTTGAAATACCAAGTGTTGCCTGAAGTGAAAAATAAGCTATTTTAAAATAAATATAGTTTACTACACAAAATAAATATATTATCGAAAATTTATTTCATATCAACTAAATTAGTTTGTGATTTTTTGTCAAATGATTTAAATATTCAGCTCAATCCCAACTCGATTCTAGATATATTATAATTTAATATAATCGATAACTACTCTTTACCAAAATATTATATAAAATAAAGCCCAAATAAGTCGGATCGAAACCTGCCACTTCGTAGCAAATGTATGCAATTTTTTTTAATTTACTGGTATCACTGCAACCGAAAGTACTGCAATGAAGTGACTAATGGTGGTTAATATAGCGCATAGCGCCATATTATATACATATAATAAACTTTTAAATACACCTTTAACTGAAATATAATTTATATTAAGGTTAAAATAACGCTTACATCAATTACAATAAAAATTATTAATATTATTTTGTATTAAAAAGTACATGCCTTAAAAATATTTTTAGGATTATAGAAAGTCGTAAGCCTGAAAAGTATGAAAGAGCGTTCATTGATTTCTCTGTACCATTTTTTTTATTTTAATCTAAAATGCGACCTATTACGAAATAATGTTCTTATAATATAACACGCGGTCTATCCAATGAACGAAACATGATGTAGCGTGCTCCGAGATATAGCGTGCTGCTAAATTTAACGCGCTTGCCGGCCTCCTACACGCTTTCTTATAAATAGCAAGCTATAACATAGCGTATTTATTAGCGCGCTAGAAACTTATAGTTTATAGTTTGTAGCGTGCTATTGATTTATAATCGTTTTGAACAACTTTAGTAGTGACAACATAACTTTAGTTATCAATAGTTAATTAACCCATTCGGGTTTATCTGCCGAACAGGTTTTTATTTTTTTGTTTAGATTTTATAATAAAGTAGGTATTACAAAAAGTAGTAAATTTTTCTGTTATTGGCTTAATAATATTTACAAATAGTAAATAAAAATTGTTTTTCAGTAAATATCATACATAAATTATAACCGAGGATGAGGTCTCCTTTTAAGTAGGTATATAAACTTGTGTTAGCAGACTCCACTCATCCATAGCATTTAAATTACTATTTGTGTTATCTTTACATAAAAATTAAAATAAAAAACTAATGATGTTCACGCTAAATGTTTAAGCTGGGCTTTTTGGTGCATACTAATTAGCTATATAAACATTTCGTAAATGTACGTTTGCGAACATTAATTATATTACGCGTGTGTGTGTGTGTTAGTGTTATAAATAAATTACATTATTTTATATTGCTTAAAAGAGCCTCAGTATCGTCATAGCTCTTAAGAAATAGCCATTTGGATAGAATATATTTGCAATTATGGTAGCTAAGTTGATAAATTTTTATGCTTTTATTAATGGCGTCGTATATTCGCTGACTGTTTTACATATTGTCTCCTAGTTAAAACAGTTTTAACAGCGACAGCTGTAGCCACTACGTTTTTCCTTCTTTTGACTACAATACAACGGTTAAACTTTATACCCTTATGCAGTCTTAGAACTAAATATAAGATGTACAATTTCGTAATAGTAAGTACATTACTTATGGCATAAAAATCTTCTGTAGGGAATCTTTTTAGTTTAAAATGCATAATTTTCAGTAAATTTCTCTGTGCCCTTAAACTTCTACAAATTTGGTTTTTGTAGCTCAACCCCATACAGGAATATAATATACTAAGATAGATTGAAAGTAAAGTAACTTTTTCGTCCAGTGGCGAAGTCTATATAGAAGCCGAAAAGCCAGGTTTGCCCTTTCAAACTGCTAAATCAATAATATCAGCTAATAAAATAACTCGTAAACTGTTTCAAACTATTTCAAATTTCCCGCGCGCTTCTCTGTTCTACACAGGTCATGACCTCGTAGCCTTATTATGTAACGTCAACACTTGGCAGTTTGCTTTCAATTCGAAATATACTGATTCGTGTTCTCTATGTCTCAAAGCGAACACGCAATGGACTGTCAAAATTAAAGAAAACAAGGGGTTGATTTGAGCGATTAGTCGTCTTTCTCACACGCATGGGCTTTATACCGGGCTTTTGAGAAGACGATCGCTTCCTTTCTAACCTGTGGCAAAATTTTCTATAATGAAATATAACTACGAAATGTTTATATAGCAAATTAGTATGCACCAAAAAGCCCAGCTTTCGTGTGAAGTTGTTTCACATTTCAATGTCTGTTGAAAATGTATGCTTTTTTAAAGATTTTTAGTGAAAATGAAGGATAATAGTATTTCTTATAATGAATTGAAGTGTGTTTAAGTGCTAATCAGCGAGCAAAAGGTAAAATCTTTAAACTTTGTTGAAAAAATACACAAGTTGAAGAGTGTCTTTCGGACTAATCAAAACGTTCATCAACATTTTACGCAGACTTAATAAAATCTTTCCTTAAGAAAGAGAGACCATTCAATTTAGAATATAAATAACTTTTCTTGTCTGTAAATATTTTTTTCATTCGCTCAAGCAAACCCAAACGGCTTTTTTTCAAAGCCATATTAGGTACGCAATTGCTGATATGTCATACAATCTATCTAGCACTAGTATGCCTTCTGTGTGCTTTGTTAAACACGTTCTCGACAGCACTGAATATGAAATTGAAGAGAAGAGACAGATCAAGATTGGTGTATTTTTATAAAACTGCTAAAAACAACCTATTGTGACGTAAGTATGCTCGTGATTAATTTAATATGTCTAAGCCATGACAAGTGTTGATCAACTATGACTCCTAAATATTTAGTCTCAGAGATCTTACTAATTAATAAATCGCTGCAACTATGTAGTACTTAAGGGATCATAGAATGTGTGAAGTTTAATGTGGAAATTAATATGCCATTAAAAACATAACTTGTAAAAAAACCAAGTCTCGCAACTCAGTTCTACTACCGAAAAAGTTGTGAGATCCATGTAATACCAAGTCGGTTAATTTATTCAGTCCCTACTTACGGGTCCTTCTGTTTTAAGTTATTACGTAATTAGCTAGCCTAACAACATTTTATAGTGACCATATCAATTGAATGAAATTTGAAATATACCATGTTTATATAATGTCTGCTCGGTTAATGAAAATTCAGGCTCCTAGTTTTATCCACTACGAAGTTATAGGGGGACGAAAATGGCCTGAATTGCTTCGAGAAAAGTATGGTACGGCCGTGCTGCTTTTTTGCTCGACTTGCCGGGAGCACTGACGTGCCCCCAGTTTAGGCTGAGTTCGGATACAATTTGTACAACATATATAACTAGTTTTCAAAGTATTTAAAGCAAGTAGGTTAGTATTCAGCCACTTTTTTTTATACTCGTAGAAGAGGGGGCAAACGAGCATGCGGCTCACCTGATGTTAAGTGATTACCGCCGCCCATGATCAACCGCAACACCAGGGGAATTGCAGGTGCGTTGCCGGCCCTTTAGAAAGGAGTACGCTCTTTTCTTGAAGGTCCCCAGGTCGTATCGGTCCGGAAAAATCGCTGGTGGTAAACTATTCCACAGAGGTTGTACGCGGAAGAAAACTCCTCTTGAAACGTACAGTGGTGGACCGCCAAGCATCCGGGTGGTGTGGATGGTATCGGGACGTTTGCCGCGTAGTGCGTTCACGAAATTTGGCGGCTGGGATTAATCCGAACAATTCCTGAGAGCACTCTCCATGGTATATGCGAAAGAAAATGCTAAGAGATGCAACATCTCTTCGCAGTGCCAGTGAATCGAGCCGATCGGAAAGCACTCGGTCGTCGACGATTCGAGCCGCTCTGCGCTGGATGCGGTCAAGTGGAAGGAGCTGGTACTGGGGAGCCCCAGTCCAGAGATGGGAACAGTATTCCATGTGCGGCCGAACCTGCGCCTTGTAAAGTTGCAAACGGTGTGCCGGCATGAAATACTGTCCCGCTCTGCTGAGCACGCCAAGCTTTTTAGAGGCCAATTTGGCCTTTTCTTCCAAGTGACCACGAAACTGCACGTCACTCGATATGTCAACGCCGAGTATTCCGATACTGGCTGAGGCAACAAGGGGGAGTGCCTTGAAACTGAGGAGATACGACAAAGGGGTTTTTTTTAGCGGTTAACGCGCAAACTTGTGTCTTCTGGGGGTTAAACTGGACTATATTTAGTCGCCCTATATCCTCAAACCTGTGCACAAGGTTTGATTTTACATATTTCCCAAGAGATCCTCTCAAGCGGCAGACTTGGATTGCAGCTTGTAAAAATCATGAATCTTGGATACCTAAACGGACTAGCACCATTTGCTCCGACCATTTTAATAAATCATATTTCATACCCCAATTTACCAATAAAAGAAGGTTAGCCGATACTGCTGTACCAACCTTGAACTTGTAAGAGATAATGTCTAGCTGTAATTCTATCAAGAGATTGAATAGTTTTATTATTACCACCAATATTATTCTTCTTGAAAATATTTTAGACTTTCA